ACAGATATAAGTGTAGTGCATGTAATGACAAAGACTAAAAGCTTAATATAAATTCATCGTATATATGCATAACAGAAATAACAGAATATTCCACACAGCCTTACAAACATATTTACATCAGAGTTTTCAGTTTTTTTTTTTTTTTTTGCTTGTGTTCAGCTCTCCTGCATTAGTTCCCAACTGTAGTTGACCATCGTCAGGTTTTCCTGATGTGTCTTCTCCCTCATGGCTATGTCTAGGTGAAATTGTTCACCATTGGGTTCTATGTCACACAAACTGTATGTATTAGAGCAAAACTTAAATTTAGATTGGAATTCAACATCCCAAAATTAGTTAAACACATTTTTTAAACAAACTGAAACCAGTGTTCACCTATGTTATTAATGTACCAGTGCTGGAAATCATGTAATGTATATTCCTTGTTGGGTTCTATTCCTGCTGTCTCTTCAGCAGATGGAGTTCTACTCATATATGTGTGGAGAATGCTTCCAGGTCTATGATACTATTGATACTTTCAAGAAACATGTATGCCACAGTGATGTGGAAAGCATATGTGAGCATGAAGGCAAGCCTATACTTTCTGCACAGAAAGGTACAGTATATACTTTTTTGTATTCTGTAGGAATGCAACCTATTGCTGTATAAGTTCTTTCCTTAAGACCTGTGTTATTTGTAATTTTTTTTATATATGATTGAGATTGTGAGTGGTGCACTTAGGAGTCTGTGGAGACAAAAAACTTTGTCCGTGGAAGCAAAGAGGGGAATGTATGAGAGTACTGTATAGTTATACCAACACTCATATATGGGTGTGAAGCATGGGTGGTGAATGTTGCAACGAGGAGAAGGCTGGAGGCAGTGGAGCTGTCATGTCTCAGGGCAATGTGTGGTGTGAATATAATGCAGAGAATTCGTAGGGAAATTAGGAGGAGGTGTGGGATTACCAAAACTATTATCCAGAGGGTTGAGGAGGGGGTGGTTGAGGTGGTTTGGTCATGTAGAGAGAATGGGACAAAACAGAATGACTTCAAGAGTGTATAAATCTGTAGTGGAGGGAAGGCAGGGTAGGGGTTGGCCTAGGAAAGGTTGAAGGGAGGTGGTAATGGAGGTTTTGTGTGCGAGGGGCTTTGACTTCCAGCAAGCATGTGTGAGCGTATTTGATAGGAGTGAATGGAGACATGGTTTTTAATACTTGACGTGCTGTTGGAGCAAATTAACATTTATGAAGGGATTCAGGGAAACTGGCAGGCCAGACTTGAGTCCTGGAGATGGGAAGTACAGTGTCTGCACTCTGAAGGAGGGGTGTTAATGTTGCAGTTTTATAACTGTAGTGTAAAGCACCCTTCTGGCAAGACAGTGATGGAGTGAATGATGATGACAGTTTTTTTTTTTTCAGGCCACCCTGCCTTGGTGGGAATGAGCCAATGTGTTAATAATAATAAAAACAAAAAAGTAAAAATAATGATTGAGATTACATTGTTGCTTTACTAGACAAACATTCAGGGCTTAATTTGGAATCTTAAGATTTCCTAGGGCAAGCAACTTGTAGGGAGCCTCTGCTGCTAAAACTTCAATGTCAAATTCATATTGATTTTATACAGTATGTATAACATGTCATTTTTTTTTCAACAGATGATATGAACTTATTTGAAAGGTTAAACTACTGTATCATTACAAAGTTTGATATATATGCCTAGAATCTTGCCTTGTTGGGGCCATAGGTTTAGACCTCAATATATGCCGGACCCTCTATGCTAACATTATCCCAATCCTAAAACTTAATTGGAGATCTTCAACAGAATGCATAGACTCAACACAAGAAATAAATATTTCTTTTATATCCCACATATTTGACTCAATGTGAGTAGAAATTTCATGCAGATTGAATGCCCAAATGTATGGATCTCTACCAGAAGATTCTAAAAGTACTGTATCCTATCTGCTAACTGTTTCAGTAATGAAAAACTCCTGAATTTGATATAGGTTTTTTATTAACACACCAGCCATATCCCATAGTGGTAGGGTGACCCCCTCCCCCCCCCCCCCAAAAAAAAAGAAAGAAAATGCATTCACCATTCTTTGTTTAGTTACTGTCATACCAGAAGTGTGATAACATAACAGTTCAAATGGCCCTCAAAAATTTAACAGCCTTGTTTCTCCTTCAAAATGCAGGCACTGAAATTTTACATGGATTGAATATAGATGTTAAATTAATAACGTCGTCGTAAGCTCCTCTCTTCTATGTGTGGGTTATTTGTGTATAGATGTGAAATTCTTTGTATCTAATACATTCAGTTTATCCAGATTCCAATCAGCATTTATACTTGTATACTTATTATCACCAGTATATGTGTTTCTAATTCCCTGCCCCCAATAATCATTTTGCCAAAAAAAATGATCATCGCTCTTCATAAGCAGTTTTTTCAACACTTCCTCTCCATCCCCTATATCAGCTCCTGCATCACCACTCACCTTGCAGTATCACCATTCTCATAAGCTGTTTTAATCCTATAATGATGTTATTTGGAATTAATTATTAGTACAAATATAGTGGCAAATGGAGAATAGTGCTGTTAGCAGGCATCATAACCTCACTATAATATGATTCACTAGCTAAGGACATCTATTAGGAAATAGTCTCCGTTATGTACAATATAAAGCATCTGGTTTTATGGTAGAAAAAATCTTTCATTATAGATGTTGAAAAGTTTGAATAATTTTAGGTAAAGTTCCTGATGGAGATGAAGATACTCAGGATAATGAGGATGGCAAAGGTGAAGAGACTCAAGGTGATGATGAGGGCAAAGATGGAGCACTGAAGAAGAGAAAGAAATATCAAGCTATGGATGATACATATCGTCTCAATCGAACCATGAGAGACAAGGACTTCAAGTTAAACAGAAGCCACTTTTATTGCTTCAAAGATACCCTTGGTAAGTGTAAATAAGTGCTATACATAATAAAGATAAAATAAATTGTCTTACATTGATAGTACGTGATTTGAGGAAGTGGCATGAAAGTAGAATTCCCTGAGTGTGTGTTTTCCATGTTTTACATTTTTTTTTTTATCAGCCTATGTTGTTCTACCCTTTTTATATTTGCAAACAGTATCAACAACCCTTCTTCTCCTTGTATCCTAGTGTGAAATGGAAGCCTGTTAATTGTGTTGCACTTCCATAGAAATTCTGGTATACTGTTTTATTTCTCTCACGAGCATGTATGATGGCATGTAAACCTTGCAGATATCTATTTACACTAAGTATACACTTGTTTTTACTTTGCTGGGCTATAATTGTCACCTGGGAAAATGATCCAGAGTACCATTAATTGATAACACCTTACCTTTTATACCACCATGTTGTCTTTTGTGTTATTTCATATTCTTTGCAGAATAGTCACTTGATGCATTACTTCACTGCCTCTTTTCCATTCCCATTTTTGCAACCACTGATAAACTTTCTTTTCACAGATTATTAAACACTCATGTAACTTTCACCATAGAATAGGCATATACATTCATTGACAACTTAACCCTTTGGCTGTTGCAAGCCCATTTCTGAAACTGTCATTCTATGTCACAAAATATTTGAAGAACAAAATTTTTTTTCTTATAAAATGATAGAGAATCTTTTCCTGATGGTAATGGCACCAAAAGTATAAAATTTGATGGAAAACTTACGGAATTACACTCTCGCAAAGTTAGCAATCTCGGCGATATATACACATCAGCAATTTCGCCGAATTTGAGCCCTATTTTTGGCCAATTCCATTGTTCCAGTCAACCAAACTCATAGCTATTTCTTTAGAAATCTATTTGTTCTATCGATTGAATACAAGAAACTGCCCTTTACCGATTTCAACTGCCCAGTAAAGTGCTCAGAAATTGACAATTTCTCCAATTTCATGCAAATTAAAAAAGATGCCAATTACAAAATAGGGTCCAGAATAAACAATGCAGACATTCCTGGCACTAAAATAACATTTTCTCTGTTCATTAGTCATGTCTCCAGGCCCCTCTTGCTTTCTATTTTTATTTTTTATTCACACAAAAATAGAAGATTTACTGTTATGCAGACTACTGCATTATTGTAAAAATGGTATAAATAATATCAGTGCACTTGTGAAAGAATATTAGACTCACCAGTTGACGTGTAGTGGATACGTGGCATGATTTGTTTTCTCTTGAACATTGGCAAAAATCGAACACTTCTGTTACTTTGAGCTCAATTTCAAGGTCGTTTTCATTGTGAAACTAATCAAAATCATCTATATTTCTGCAATATGTCTTTCATTCTATCGAATGAGACCAAGAAAATGAGAATACAACCATAAATACTATACGAAAATACACCTCAAAGTAGGCGTTTTAATCCAAAAACACAGTCGAAATTTTTTTTTTTTTGCATTATGCATTGCGTGCTACAGGATTTTTTTTTATACAGTGCACACTGACCACACAGACCCATTCTCTCGCATGTAGGCCTACTAGCTTTCTCCCGCTTGATTTGAAGCCACTAGAATTTAGGTATATTAATATGTCCGAAACACTGCCTTGGCCGAAACAGTCAAAGGGTTAATTAGGTACACCCTTCAAGTACTGGGTAGGTTTTCCCTTTGCCCCTAGAACAGCTTGAATTTTTCGTGGCATGGATTCAACAAGGTCCTGGAAATATTCCCTAGAGATTCTGGTTAATGATGACATCATGCAGTTGCTGCAGATTTGTAGGCTGCACATTCATGATGCAAATCTCCTGTTTCACCATATCTGGTGACTATGGATGCTCACTGCTCAATGTCAGGTGCACCTGATAAAGTCCCCCCCCTCTCTCTCTCTCTCTCTCTCTGTTTCTCTATCTCTCTGTCTCTCTCTCTGTCTGTCTGTCTCTCTCTCTCTCTCCCCGTCTCTCAACTCCTCCGTCTCTCTCTCGTCTCTCTCTCGTCTCTCTCGTCTCTCCCCCTTTCGTCTCTCTCTCGTCAATTGTCTCTCTCTCTCGTCTCTTGTCTGTCTCTCATTCCGTTCTGTCTCTCTCGTCTGTCTCTCTCGTCTGTCTCTCTCGTCTGTCTCTTCTCCTCTCTCTCCTCTTCTTCTCCTCTCTCTCCTCTCTCTCCTCTCTCTCCTCTCTCTCCTTCCTCCCCTCTCCCCCTCTCTCCTCTCTCTCCTCCTCTCCTCTCCTCTCTCTCCTCTCTCTCTCTCTCTCCCCTCTCCCCCCCCTCTCCTCTTTTTTTTTTTTTTTTTACACAGGGTTTGACAGGTTAAGGATCCCTAGCTTTATTGACAGCTATTTACAGGTTAAGGATTCCTAACTTTATTGGCAAGCTAAGAGCTGTTACCTACATCAGCTCATTTGAAAGCATTTTTATTGTTATGAGACATACAAGTAGGAAACAGGATGAAGTTGGAGCCATCTGTGGGCCAGCATTTTCATTTTGATCAACTGACTTTATCTCGTTGACATCATTATGCTGTACGAATGTGTTCCGTACCCCGAGTCATCCTGGTATGTATGACTCAGATGGAGTGATGTTCTGGAGAAGGGTACAGCCAGAGTGAAGTTTGCTGCTTTCTGCCTGTCTTGTGGCATAAAAGCTTGTTTCAACGCTGTCCTCGAAGTGGATCCAAGTGTGGTATTTTGACAATATTGGCCTTGTACATAACAGTAAGGCCACCCACATCCCTCCTATGTTGAAGGCTCTGCTGAAATGACAGATCTATCCAGGATGGGTCCAGGCGAGAGATGAGACGTCTTGCTCTGTTCTCTACTCTGTCAAGCAGTCGCAGATGAGAGGGGGGCAGGCAAACCAAGAAAGTGGAGCATACTCAAGGTGCGAGCGTACTTGTGCCTCGTACAGGATCTTGCAACCCTACTGTCAAGCAGATGGGAGATACGGCGAAGTGCTGTAAGCTTCCTGGCTGCCTTGTTTGCAAGATTTACAACATGGTTCTTCATGGTTAGTTTGGAGTCAAATTTCACCCCAAGGATATCAACTTCTTCTCCAGTGCCAACATCCTCCCATTCATCCTTACTACTGCACCAGCATTACCATCATGGTGCCTAGAGACGATCATCATTTGCGTTTTCTCAGGTGCAAATGTTACTTGCCATCTATTTTCCCAAGCTGATATAGCTCTCAGCTGGTGATTGATGTAGCTTAGAGCAGCTGGCATTTCTTCTCTTGGATAAGTGAATGTCAGTGTACAGTCGTCTGCATATGCATGTGATTCTGGGATGAGATGAAGAAGGTCGTTGAAGTAGACATTCCATAACAATGGACCCAGCATGCTTCCTTGTGGAACACTTGCCCCAATAGGATGTCTTGCTGATTCCGTTCCATTGAGAACTACACTTAGAGATCTACCATGAAGGTAATCACTGAGGAGACATAGCATAGAGCCTGCAATTCCCAGTGCTTGAAGTTTTGCTAAGAGGCCCTGGTGCCACACCCGGTCGAAAGCGCCAGCAATGTCCAGTGCTACCACACAGCTGACTTTGGATTCATCCAGTGACTGGTGCCACTTAGTGGAGAGGTTTAACAACAGATCAGCAGCAGAGTAACCTTTCCTGAAGCCGTATTGACGATCACAAAGTAGTGAGTGGTAGTCAAAAAAACTCTGTCATTTGTCTTGAGATTATTGTCTCAAGGATCTTACCAGTGATTGACAGGAGTGACACTGGTCCTGTAGTTGCTGATTTCTGCTCTGCTCTTCTTTTTGTGAACAGGGACTACATTTGCCTCTTTCCATAGAGAGGACCATTTACACTGTACTAGGCAGTGCTGAAAGATGCGAGTTAGAGGTGCTGCTAGCTGGTCTGCACATCTTCTCAACAATCTTGGGCTCAACTTGTCTGGGCCCACAGGCCTTTTCTTGGTCAAGCGATTTAAGTAGAAATGCACCTCCTCCTGCCTTATTGTCACCACTGACAGTTTTGACACAGTTCTTGCAACTAGCCAAGGAGGGTCCCTTGCTGGATCAGGAACTTGCATTTTGGTAGCAAAGTGTTCAGCAAAGAGGTCTGCCTTCTCTTGACTACTAGTAGAGGTGGTCCCATCCTGTCGATTTAGAGGTGGAATAAGTTCATCAGGCAGATAACCTTGTCTGTCCTTGACCAGGGACCACCAGGTTTTGGAGCCTACCCTAAACCCGATGCTAACTTTCTTTTAGTGTCCACCTCCCATTTAGCAATGGCCCACTTTTGAATATCACCCATATGCCTACAGGCTTGCATGTGCAAGTTCCTGTTATAGGTGGTAGGATGTCTCTTATACCTTCGCCATGCTTTGTACTTAGCAGTAGCAGCCTCCTCTACAACGAAAGCCAAACCAAGGCTGATCTGTAGGCTTCGTCACATATTGCCGGTGAGGAATGTGTTCTTGTTGTAGATTAAGGATGTGTCCAGTGAAGGCTTTCACTTGGTTGTCAACATCCCCTTGGAGAAGAGCATTCCAGTCGGTGGTGGCGAGCTCAGAGCAAAGGGCTGGCCAATTACCTCTTTCCCATAGCCAGGTTGTGCGTGTGGACTCCTCACCACGTTCTGTTGGGATCTTAAGTGTCGTAAAAACAGCCTTGTGGTCAGAGGATCCAACGTAGCCGAGGGGTTGACAAGTGACTATGCCTTCTGCCAGATCACTCACTACTGGGTCAAGGGAGGAGCCAGAGATATGAGTAGGGAAATCAACAAAGTTTCTCATGTCAAACACTGCAAGAAGGACATCAAAGTCCCTCTGTATAAGGTGCTGGTTGAGGTCACCAACAATTATAATATGTTAACAGTTGTGTTGTAGCAGAAGGGAGTCAATATTTTCCATTAGGAAGTTGATAGGGTATGCATGTTGCCACTGAGGTCTGTACATTGCAGATGCTAGTACAGAGGTACTAGTGTTTATACAGAGCTTGAAGAACATCATTTCAAGATGTGTAGGGGTGGCAACATCA